TTCAGTCTTATATAGAAATGCAAAAACAAAAAATTCGAGAAAAGGATCATTTTGCACAATCACCTCATCACTGCACTTTTCAGCAACAAAAGCCTGTTTGCCTCTGCTAGAAGGTCAAAATATCCTAATCAAACACTAGGTTTGATTCCTGGTTCCAGACTGTGTTTCCTTGAAAAAGCTGCAGTGATGAGGGTGTTTTGTAGAATGGCGCTTTCCCTGAATTGTTTGTTTTGCATTTTCACAAGACTGAAGCCTGTCCAAGTAAGTAGCTATGGACTCTTGATGTGTGAGAAATGCTTTTTTTGGCTAACCGGCCTTCCGCACTTTTCTAGCACCAAACTCGTATCACAAAATTTGCAACGCTTTTTTTTCAAATTTTGGTGGCCAAAATTTGAAAAAACCACCAAAATTTTGAAAACTTCGTTCTCGGTGACTAACCCATGGATTGCTATGCTTAAACTTCTTATGAAACACAAACCAACTATTTTTGGGATATCAAATTGTGAATTTAGGTTTAGTATTTGAAATGTTGTTGAATTTCGTTTGAATTACGCAAGAACTTTCGCGCCAACTTAATATTTGCTCAGTTTTTTGTTGGAGTGTTCATACGCCAAACAAGAGCCTTATTTCAGTCCCATGCCGTTTGCACTTTTGGACATGGTTAGGTAAGATACTGGTAAGATTGCTTAGCTATCAAAGGTATGTGGCTAAGACTACAGATGGAGTAAAGTTCTCACCCTAGATAGAAAAATGGGAAGAAACAGAACTTTTGAAGACCAAAGAGGGACAAAAGGTCATCAGTAAATGTTGGATATGATCCAATTGACGCTTTGCTGTTCCGCAAGCACGAAAAAAAGCTCGTCTAGCACATTTAAAGAACATATATCAAAATGGTGGTTAAGTAACACGATTTTCATGTAACTTCTGTCTTTTTTGATTCCTTTGTTATTATAAAGATTAAAGCTACAAAAGCAGCCATTTTGGCCATTTTATTGCCTTGTCATCTAAGGTTTATGGTTGGTTTACGATAAAAGGAGAACTTTGATGCTTCTGAATCTGCCGCAAATTCTGAGCTCCCGCTCCTTGTCGTTAGTCATTGGCGGATCTTCCAGAAATGACCATCGCGAATCGTGCGGGAGCCAGATCTCAACTTCTCTTTGACTTCCAGTTTCTTTGCAGTGAATCAACCTCTGGCAACACTTTGTTTACAGTTTTGTCTCGTTATATATAATTCAGTTTGTGCACGGATTGTTGTCAGAAATTCGTAAAATCCAAGTTGACCGGTTTCTGGAAAATGTGCATTTTTCCCTCAAGTTCGTCCAGATTTGTAGCTCACATCGTAGTCTACAAAATACCAGAAGTTATGCGTCTGTATCTGAAGGAAGTTATGGACAAAGTCGCAAAATTTCGACTATCACTTCCACAACAAACCCTATCTTCTTTATTCGAAAGGTGGTTGTCGTTCGCTACACTTTACACAAGATTTTGATTTGCTTGTCGTGGTAGATCGAAAATGTTGAACGGGAATCCGAAAACCTCTTGTCTTAACTTCCCTCCCTAGACTGGAATTGCAAAGCGATGTAGTTGCAGGTAATTTGGACTCCAATGAACAGCTTTTAGAATAAATCCGAAACTAAATCTTCTTACGTTTTGCTCCCTCGTGACGGCGATTAATAGCGAATCGATCAAGCGTGAATTGCGCACATTCGGCCGGAACAGCAGGACTCTCTACATTGCTTTCAAAGAACAAGTTCTCTATAATCTCCATGCCAAATAACTTTCTTCTCTTGTCTCGTTTATATACTAAATAACATTACACAGATATGCGAATCGAATGTCGTTTTTGTAATTAGCGTGAACTACAGGTTTCTCATCGTCATTTGAAAAATTTTGAATAGTTTCTGCAAAAATGTGAAAGATGTCAGTTTCGATGGCATATCTTTAAACAAAAATAAAAGTGATGTAATGTTCAAAAATTTCATGAATCAAAAGTATCAATTCATCGATCTGTGTGTAAGAAGACTATACGGGTAAAGAGGGAGGTAGAGTACGGGTAAAGAAGGGGTAGCATATAGGCGTAAGCTTTCATCTTCTTGGAAAGAGGAAATTAGGCCAATTACCTTTCTCAATGGCGTTCCCTAAGAATATTCTTCGCAAAGGCGAAAGGAGAGGGGCGACAAAGATCTTTCCGATGAAGGGATTTGGCATTATCATATCTTTCAAAAAATAGGATTTCCTAATATTACGGCAACTTCTAAACTTGAGGGTTAGCCCTCAAAGAAAATTTGTTACAAAGCTTGAACTTCGAACATTCAGCTTGCAAATGAAAGCCAGTCACTTGCACAATTTTGTAACCCTTATAAACTACATTCGAGAACCCCGCATCCTCACTAAACTTCTGGTGCAAACGATATAATCAACTTAGCGGATCCTTCTGCACTGAAAACTGCCCTGCCGTATTTCTACCGTATCTCCTTTTCTTTGGAAATTTCGAGAAAATCAGAGCAGCCTTCTCATCCTAAATTCAGCACTATGATGATAGGTACCTGCTCGTATTTGAAAACACGTTTTTTTGGCACTATGGGCGTCGTGCATTATGTGCTAATCAATTGGCTAAATAAGATCAGCTTGATGAGGTTCTCCTATCAAGTGGGTATAACGTACAACTGCTTGAAAATTGTGCTTCCCATATGATTATTTCCTCTGTTTATGTAATTCTTTTACGCGCTAACACGAGATATTCGCTTGCGACAATCAGCCTTGTTAGGTTTTTCAGCAAATTTCGAGAACAAAAATTCAAAAAAAAAACTGATTTCATGAAGAGACGACACATTTGCGCTTGTGCTTGGGCATTGCGACTAGTCATGGAGCTGGAAAAGCTTTCCCTTATAAGGGAAACTTTTCGAGCTTTTCCACTTCTTCCTTACAAGGAAAAGCTTTCCCAGCTCCACGACTAGTCGCAATACCCGAGCACAAGCGCTAATGTGTCGTCTCTTCATGAAATCAGTTTTTTTGAATTCTTGTTTTAGAAATCTGCTAAAAAACTCAAACAACCATTCTTACTATCTAATTTTTTAAGCCACTTCGTGACGCAGTAAACCCCTGAACTCGAAGCTCTTTTCATTGAGATCAAAAAGGGCAAACCTTGCATCAAAGTGATCAAGTTGACATCAGACATTACTCTCGTTTATCATGGTTTGAGCATAGCTTGACATCTTGTTAGATCCTCGCGCACTTTCCGAATCTTTCAGTGGAGCTTTATTCGATGAACTAACAATGACTCGAACTGTTCTCAAAAGTCTTTTTTGCATAGATATTTTTTGATGGATTTTTTCCACAAAACCATTTATGCGAACAAAGTCGAATGTATGAGTCTACACTTCAGCACGCAAATGAAAACAATGGTCGCTGCATTTTAAAGTGTGAGGGAGAGAAAAATCACCGCTAAGTTTTTTTTTATGTAAGAATTGAGGCAAACACCCGGTAAGATCTAGACAGCTGTGCCACTAAGAAATGCTGGTCTCAGGATTTCCGTTCAAGGGAAGGGGAAATAAAAAATTTCTTGAATGAAGGCGTCTGGCGTCAGTCACCCGTTCCGCAAAATTTCTTGCGATGATCTCCAGAATTTTTTCAGGCTCACAAACTTTTTTCCAGAGTTTCTCAAAAATTCAATATTATTTTGATTATTAACAAGTATGAAAATCACTTGAACATTTTATAGCTTAGTAAGTAACTTCCAAAGATTTCGCTATCCATTTCGGGGGAAGGGGTTTTCCCTCGGTACGCCGTTGTCACTAGGGTATACTGATCTCCGAGCGTATGTACTTCCCCTGTAAGTGCAGATAGGTTGCGTACAGTCATCCTCTTTGGCGAAGAGGTTTGTGTAATTGTCCTATTTTTAGATCCGCACTAACAAGCTGGCTGCGTCAGGGGAAGGGCCCTTTTTATTTTGTGCCGTTTTTCTCACATTTTTATTGTTTTGTAACTTCCTCCTCAAGTCAAAACGGTCCGATCCCGCCAGACTTGCCCAGTGCAATCTTAGCTGGTTTGCTGGACTAGATTTCTAACCTAATTGATTTACACATAATTTCTCTACAGAACATTTGCGCTCATCTGCCAATATTCATTTTTCTGGAGAAGGTAAATGTTGAAAGTAACTTAACTTTGTTCGAAGAAGCACCACAACTTCCATTAGATACAGTTTTGGAAGATTTTGGTGATATTCGATGCACCTTTTAATCTTATTAGCGAAACACAAATCACACTTTCTATATCCGCTTTGCGGAGGCATCTAAGCATAGAATTGAAAAAACCAACAAAATAAGCATCTTGGTTTTTCTATCAGCTCTCAGGGATTTGGCGCAGTCACACCATCACATGATGGTCGCACTTCGATCTTTAAGCTTTCTTTGAGGCGTTTAATGCCTGGATATTGTTCGAATTTATTTTGTCGAATTTTGCAAAGGGAATGAAAAGCTGCACAGAATATAATCGAAATCATTTAAGAGTTTGTTCTGACAGTTTTGTGCTCGGTCAGAAATGCGAAATCGCTCTCGAAACAGCGTATAAAACGTAGCCTTCGCTGGTGGAATAGCACTTAACCAATGTAAACAGTAGAACCTTCTATGTCGTGAGTGGTTGCCAGCAATCCGTCAGAAAAAAACTAGTTTGTGGGCCATGTGAACTGGTCGCTTGTACCTCAGAACTAACCTCAAAACTACATGATTGGGACAGTCGATGCGTCATTGTCGTGTAGCGAGAACAGCTCCGCTCAAATCCGCTTATGTTCAAAAAATATTTGCCTTACTAATCGCCTATTCAGAGGAATTGGGCAGTTTTACCAGAGTTTTCCCTAGATCCAATTTGCTTGCCTTCCATCTCTCTTTCTCTGCAAACAATCCGATTAGAGCCAATCGTATAGCTGTCGTAAAATATCGGCAAGCAACGCAAGCCATTTAAATTGCTTTTGGTGACTAACAAACTGTTTTCGCCGTCTTCTGCTCCTCGACAAGCCCCTATCTGAGATGTGAGTCTTGAATATACCATCACTTTTGCTCTTCTCAGAGAGGGATGGATTTTGAAACTTCCAAAATTATTTATAGGCTTGTAATCATGAAACTCAAAAAAACCGAGCGTAAGCGACCCCAAAAAACTATTCCGCAAGTAGATTCAGACTGCTCAGAAAGCTCGTTCACACTTTTTTTCATGAGAATCATAACATTCTTTGCTCAAAAGTATCATGCGCTTTACAGAAGTGCTCTGGTGTAATTTCGTACAAAACCATGATTTTCTTTTTTGAAAGTAGAAATAATGTACTTTGGAGCAGTGTCTACAATGTAATTTCATTTAAGGTTCGTTCGCATCTTTTTTTCCAAAAAATTATAACTTCTCTAAAGCAAAATTATGCGCTTCACAGCACTTTTTGATCTAGTTTTATACAAAATTCGGCCTTTTTTCTCAAAAGAATCAGAGCTTTCTTAGAGAGGAAATCATGTGTTTTACAACATGTTTATGACATGATGTGATACAAGATTCGTTCGCACCTTTTTAAAAAAAATATAACTTGTTTTGCCTGAAAGTAGAAATCATGCAGTTTACGGCGGTGTTTTTAATGTAATTTCATATAAAAAATGAGATCAAAAGCAAATGAAGAAAACTCAAGATTGGCATTTTTTCATCTCACAAGGAGAGGATACTTAGTCGAAAGCACCAATCCAAATGAGACATATATCATCCTAAAGCGCTTGAAACGCTGATTCCAAATCTGCAGTTTCTAGCTGCGGAGCGGTTTTGTAGAGGGAGTTATGAGGGGTGTTTCCCTCTAGGGTCGAGGCGTACTCCACCATGTCTCCCTACCTATAAGCACTGTAGAGGACTACCAACTGGTGGCAAGTGGCTTCATGGTAAGTAACTTGAATGAAGATTGCAGTAAGGATCATAATACTCTTATTACTTCAGCTTTTTAACACTTCTATAGCATCAAAATCATCAAAATTTTCAAGCTTTAGAGCTTCAAAGCCATTTAGAAGATCAATTTTGCAAAAACTGCGATGAAGTTGCATGCGAAAAGGATTAAAACCTTGACACTCTCCTTATCAAGCACGTCACTTACAACTAGGTCAGTTGCCACCAGTTGGTACTCCTCTACAGTGCTTATAGTAGGGGGAGAAATGGTGGAGGACGCCTTCACCCCAGAGGGAAACACCCCTCATAACTCATTCTTCAAAACCTCCCCGCAGCTAGAAACTGCAGATTTGGAGTCAGCGTTTAAAGCGCTTTGAGATGATATATGTCTCATCTGGATTGGCGCTTTCGACTAAGTATCCTCTCCTTGTCAGAACAATATATTTCAAAGTTATGGCTTGACATGACCACTTTATTTGTAACAAAATAATGTACTCCTGCTTATTTTCCATTCTGAGAACTTTGAATCGTTTTAGTGAATTCGCCTGAGAAATTCTTTGGAGTGATTTTCATCGTTTGCTTCTCATTCTGGTAATTTCTCATACCAATTCACAGCAGAGGCACTAATGCGATGCACAATGCCGCTTTCCAAAGAAGATTTTCTTCTACAAAAAATTCTGTCGAAATGCAAAGAAGCCATGATTTTCAAAAAAAGGTGCGAACGAAGTTTTGAAACAATCTAATTATACACTTTGACAAAAATTATAAAACTTCAGTTTAGAAAATTAACATATTACTTGTGTAATTATTTTTAATTCATTAGGTTGTCCCATAAGTCTTTTCATTTTCGAGTTTTCGCTATGATAAGACACACACTTCTAATTCTAAATAGACATCAGGACACCATTCGATAGAGCAAAGCAAGCTCCATAAGATGGTGTTTATGCTTTTGCACAAGCTTTGGTCCTTCTCAAGTTTTAAACCAAATCTAAAAAGTTTCGGATGGCCAGGAAACCGAAAAGTTTTTATATCTTCGTTCAAAAGAATTCTACAAATCTCTAACGCTCACGCATAAACATTCATCAGACGTTCATATGTGCTGTTGCTGTATTTTTTTATCAGCTAGAAATCAAGAAATCGGAGATTTTCATGTTTTTATCAAAGTGATGCTGTGCTGTTCTTACACTAACATTTGTATACTAGAAGCCCTTAGAAGTACTACCGTACATTTTTGGCTTTCTATATGCTCTGGTTCACGAAAAATATCAAATTTAGCTTTCTTTACTCGGGTTTTTCACCCCTAAATCAACATTTCTCGGAAATCAGAGCTTATGAGAGCTAAAAATTTGCGGCTGTACTTCTAAGGGCTCATAGTATACAACTAGTGCAAGAACAGCACAGCGTCACTTTGGTAAAAACATGGAAGTTTTCGATTTCTTGATTTCTAGCTGATAAAATACAGCAACAGCACATATGAACGTCTGATGTGGAATGTATATGCGTGAGCGAGTTAGAGATTTGTAGGATTTTTTTGAACGGAGATATAAAATTTTTTCGGTTTTTTGGCCATCCGAAAATTTTTAGATTTTGGTTCAAGACTCGAGATGGACCAAAGCTTGTGCAAAAGCATAAACACCATCTTATAGAGCTTGCTTTGCTCTATCGAATGATGTCCTGATGTCTATTTAGAATCAGAAGTGTGTGTCTTATCATAACGAAAACTCGAAAATGAAAAGACTTATGGGACAACGTAATGAAATAAGTCACTTGTTATAATAATTTATGTGATCATGCAAACACCGCCGCTGTAAGTTTAGAAGTAGCATTATTCCATCTTATGTGGGGAATTTGATGAATTACCCACAAAATTGAGTTTGAATGAAGGAGAGCACTAAAACATTCACAATTTTGAAAAAGTTTTTTGGTCCTTAGAGGGTGACCCAGTTTCTTTTCTAAGGATATGCAATAACCTGTGACTGAATGTTGCTCATCTGCACTTGCCAGTGAAATCGGATTCCTTTCCCTCATCCTTCCTAAGCTGACTAATTTATTGCAAGGATTAACTTAGAATGTTTTGCATAGGTTGCCTACTCAGACCACCTCCTAAATCCTCTTTGTGGCTTCACAATCTTATAACGAATTGCTTTTTTTTCAGAAGAAACAGCGGCTCGAAATGAGAATACTTTCAACTACAATATTCCTCTACTTCATTGTCATATTCCTTGCCGTTGTCGTGGTAAGTAATATAGTTTGGCAAAAATGCTATGTATTATGTCAAAATGATTTTTCGAATTACTTTTTAGTGATTTCGGAATGCTTGAAAAACGTGGCAGGAAATTTTTGTCACAACGGTTGTTTGCTCTCAAAAATACATCGATGTAATACACAAGATACGAATGATTTCTTGAGCAAATAAATTCGCAGAATCAATCCCCGACAATTCCCATAATAATTACCTTACTCACTCAATATGCAGTGCTGCTGTTTCCAACTTAATCAATATGCTATTTTCAAGTTTATTGATGTTTATCTGCAGGATTCGTTCAAAGTTCCTCCCGGCAAAGGACAATGCTTTGTTGCAAAAGGAGAGAACTGTATGAGGTGCGACTGTATAAAACCAGCGAAATGCTACAAAGGAGAGTGCCGCTAAATCACGCTTGACTACAAATCGTCATCATCACTTTGTATCCAACTGTGATCGAACCTCTGTGAATAAAACTTTGTAAGGGTCGGAAAATGCTGGAATTTTGAATCGTTGTCATCTGACAATCGTAATGTAAGGCTTCGTCCAGAGTTGCCCGTGTGCCAGCGTAAGCTAACGCGTTGTTAGCTTAACCCTGGCAAAGAATACTTTGGACGTAGCCTCAGGTTGGTGCATAAAGGCAGTGTCCGGGCGAAAACTTAACTTTTGGAAAATCTACTTACCGGAGGTTATCCGCAACGCTGAATCCGAAATCCACATTGGAAGGCGCGAAAACGGCGAGAACATGCTTTTTGAAGCCTTACAATTTGAAATTTGACGGTCCCCGCCAAGGCTGAGACGCAGAGTGGCTGCGGGACCCTGCGATTTTGACTATTGCGGTATGCGTACAGTAAGTTTCTACCCGCTTTAGGCGGAAATTGGATTGATGGGCGTCCGCCTTGCAACGGTTCGCGCCGTTTCGCAGCTACAGTGTATCATATCGCGCTGAAACCCAAGCCTGTGTCTCCTCATTCTACTTAGCCCTTGCTTGGCAAAGTGCCAGCGCTATGCGCTCGCAAAGCCTCCAGCGATGCTCACGCGTTGCTTCACGCAGAATGTTTCGCCTAATCCGGACGGAGCCGACTGTACTCTGCCGCAATTTAAACAGGTCGGACGACTCCGCCCCGAGATGTAAGTTTCCCCACTCCATTTTTCTCTTGCTTTAAGTCGAACGTTATAACATCGTACTTGCGCGATACTGTGTTTGAGGGGGCCACTATCGCATGGCACTGAAATCCCAAAATCCCCACCTTGTCCGGACACTGCCTATAGCATCCGATTTTGTCTTTTTATACAATTGACGGCTGCTCTTCTCCTCGGTCTTCTCGTGAAAGCCATCTTAAGCATCGCTTTCTCCGGTGTATTTGCGTGCACCATAGCTCACTAGACTCTTAAGGCCTTACCCTTTTTTGTGTACCTATTTCTGCAACTCTATCGTTTTAAATACGTCTTCTCGTATGAGTTCTTTAGGGAAATATTTGATTCATTTTATCGGTATGCTTCAATGCGATGTATATATATATGGGGACTTTTGTGATTGCTACAGTACTTCAGTAAATTTTATTTAAATGTTCTTTGATTACCTCATTCTTAATAGGAAGACAGGTTTATTACCACGAGCTTCTGTTGTACGTTGCAAGACTATGGTAAATTCTGCGGGACCTTTCATGGAATCGCGAAGTAAATGAGGACGCGAAAGGTAGAAGAATCGCTGTATGTATTGGGCTTTGAGAAAATGTATCACAGAGGGTACACTGTGATAGTATTAACAAAACAGATTTTCGGAAAATTTCAGTGTAAATGCACCGTTGTAGATTTAGTTGGGGAGTTAGTTGTAATTTAGTCCAATAGCACTGATTTACTGCTGTGAACTTTGTCATAAAAATAACTCCTCTGAACATTTGGAAATTTCATACAGGTAGCGATAGGACGATGTGGGTGCGGCATATTTGCGATAGTCTGAGATGAATCTCAACCTCCCTTCACTTTGGAGACTGGGCTACCCCCCCCCCCCTTCACTTTGGGCAAAAAAAAATTTTTTGAGGTGAAATGATAGTGTGCTTGGAGTGGAGTTGTGGCGGAATAGCGCCTTTGGAGTAAGTAGCTCCGCTGTGTTATTAGACCTAGGCTAAGAGCTTTATTGAGTCAGACGACCTGCATTGATGCAGTGGCAGAATGCTCCGTATAATGGGCGTGACAAGGTAGTATACATGCATCTGAGCTATGGAGATACTCAATCACAGCCGGTTATGCTTATGGCATGACCTGTACGGTACTTATGTAAGTGTCGCGCCTTGTCACGCCCATTATATGGAGCATTCTGCCACTGCATCAGTGCAGGTCGCCTGACTCAATAAAGCTCGAAGCTACGTCTAATAATACAGCGGAGCTACTTACTCCAAGGCGCTATTCCGCCACAACTCCACTTCAAGCACACTATCATTTCACCTCCAAAAATTTTTTTTCTTTGCCCAAAGTGAAGGGGGGAAGGAGCCTAGTCTCCAAAGTGAAGGAGGGTTGAGATTCGTCTCAGACTATCGCACCTATGCCGCACCCGCAGCGTCCTATCGCTACCTGTATGTATTTTTATGACAAAGTTCACAGCAGTAAATCAGTGCTATTGGACTAAATTACAACTAACTCCGCAACTAAATCTACAACGGTGCATTTACACTGAAATTTTCCGAAAATCTGTTTTGTTAATACTATCACAATGTACCCTCTGTGGTAAACTTTTTCAAAGCCCAATACATACAGCGATTCTTCTACCTTTCGCGTCCTCATTTACTTCGCGATTCCATGAAAGGTCCCGCAGAATTCAGAGTACCATAGTCTTGCAACGCACAACAGAAGCTCGTGGTAATGAACCTGTCTTCCTATCAAGAATGAAGTAATCAAAGAACATTTGAATAAGATTTACTGAAGTACTGAAGCAATCACAAAAGTCCCCATATATATATACATCGCATTGAAGCATACCGATAAAATGAATCAAATATTTCCCTAAAGAACTCATACGAGAAGACGTATTTAAAACGATAGAGTTGCAGAAATAGGTACACAAAAAAGGGTAAGGCCTTAAGAGTCTAGTGAGCTATGGTGCACGCAAATACACCGGAGAAAGCGATGCTTAAGATGGCTTTCACGAGAAGACCGAGGAGAAGAGCAGCCGTCAATTGTATAAAAAGACAAAATCGGATGCTATAGGCAGTGTCCGGACAAGGTGGGGGTTTCGGGACTTCAGTGCCATGCGAAAGTGGCCCCTCAGACACAGTGTAGCGCAAGTACGAGGTTATTAAATTCGACCTAAAGCAAGAGAAAAATGGTGTGGGGAAACTTACACCTCCGATCGGGGGTCCTCCGATCTGTTATTCCTACTATACGGCAGAGTACGCATGCCGCAATAGTAAATCGTAGAGTCCCGCAGCGACCCTGCGTCTCAGCCTTGGCGGGGACCGTCAAATTTTGAATTGTAATGCTTTGGGAAACGTTCTCGCCGTTTTCGCGCCTTTTAATGTGGATTTTCGGATTCAGCGTTGCGGATAACACCGGTAAGTGGATTTTCCAGGAATTGAGTTTTTGCCCGGACACTGCCTTTATGCACCAATCTGAGGCTACGTCCAAAGTATTTTTTGCCAGGGTTAAGCTGACAACGCGTTAGCTTGCGCTGGCACATGGGCAACTCTGGACGAAGCCTTATATTACGTTTGCCAGATGACAACGATTCAAAATTTTTAGATTTCCCCCTTACAAAGTTTTATTCACAGAGGTTCGATCACAGTTGGATATAAAGTGATGATGACGATTTGGAGTCAAGCGTGATTTAGCGGCACTCTCCTTTGTAGCATTTCGCTGGTTTCATACAGTCGCATCGGTAGCAGTTACCTCCTTTCGGAACATAGCATTGTCCTTTGCCGGGAGGAACTTTGAACGAATTCTGCAGATAAACATCAATAAACTTGAAAATAGCATATTGATTAAGCTGGAAACAGCAACACTGCGTATTGAATGAATAAGGTAATTATTACAGGAATTGTCGGAGATTGGTTTTGCGAATTTACTTGCTCGAGGAATCATTAGTATCTTGTGTATTACATCAAAGTATTTTTGAGAGGAAACAACCATGGTGACAGAAATTATCTGCAACGTTTTTCAAGCATTCCGAAATCACTGAAAAGTAATTCGAGAAAGCATTTTGACATAATATTAGGTTGGTGGATAATTTCTGTTACACTTTTATCGTAAAATTCTGAAAAGCTCCAGAAGTTTCCTAGAGCTTTCAAATTTGCTCCATATGTAGGCCACGGCAGGGCGTACACAACAGTATGACTGATGCCGCAAATGCACAACTAGCCAGCAAGTTTACGACAACTTTATAAGCAAATTCAAAATTGTCATTCTTTCTTTGATTTTTTCTCAGCGTGTAATTGTGTTTCTTCTCCCCCATAATTTTTTAGAACATATTTTCGCATCGTTTCTTGTATGCTAACACTCTGGTGCCGCTAGCAGCCAAAAACAGGTCAAAAACAACTCGAAAAAACCAAAAATTCGTCAAAAAAATTTTCCGTGTACATCGTGTAGGATTTGATACGGAAAGGTTGAAAATAATTTTTGTAAATTTGTTTATTCTTCATTCAAAATACCATTGTGCGCTGACATCGCGCAAAATGTAGCTTATGTGATCGTATGCGGACATGATTGTGCCATCCCCCTATGTTCGCTAAACTATGGACCATACCCTGCCGAATACCACATCGCCCGGTCTCTTCCCAATCGCATGGAACAATGTCAGTCCGCTGGCAAAAATGTCCATAAAATGTACTCCCACCGAAAGTGGGTGTTTTGCGCACGGACCGCGGATCTGACAATACCGGCGGGTAAACCTTTGCACCCCGCCAACACTCTTTAATAAGAACTTTCAGAAGTTTCTTAGATTTTTAAGAAATAAAAATAAAAGTGTAACAGAAATTATCCGCCAACCTAATACATAGCATTTTTACCATAGCTACAGTTGCAGCGGTAGAATTTGTCCAAAATTGCGGGATTGTCGGGATTCGCAGGATTTGCGACTTCACGGGATTTGCAGGATTCGCGGGATTTGCTGGATAAGCGGGATTCAACTGTAACTTTTTTTAGAACAACTTTATATGAGATCTGCAAGAAGACTCGGCTTTAGCTTGATGAGACGAATCTTTTGGTACACGGTATGTCCGTAGTTCATGGTGACACGGTAGACATATGGTGATACTTTGTTATTTTCTATGGTAAAGCTTTTTTGAACATTTGTCACAGCGTAAATCGCGAGTAGCAGGTTCTGGTACGAAGTTCTTACTATCGAAAACTATCGCGAAAAATTGGGCAATTTTTATTTACCCTTATCACTGATCTAAGCATTTGATCGTTCATCACTGATAATATCACATTTTTGGATTTTGGCATATGGTAAGAAAAGTGGTGTAGGAAACGACTGAATTTCTATTGCTCTTTCTCTCATTGTAAGTGATCTACAGGCTTTTCTGCTTCTATTGCTCGGTGCAATTGGTAGATCCCTCGCTGCAGCAATTGATCGATTTCTCATCGGCACATGCCATTGCTGCCAATTCTTATTTAGAATGGCATTTTTGTTTCAACTCGCTTCACGCCGTTTGCGCCGTTTCGCACCTTAGATTGATCGCCTTAGTGGATCTGGATCTGTATGTCCATACGCAGAAAACAGAAGTGTTCAGCTCATAGTTGAAACTCCTTTTGACAGGTCAGACGACTCGGTTCATTCATGATCTATAGATAGTGAATTTTTCTGAGAGAGCAACGTCTCCAAGGAGACGGTGTCATGCGCATGATGAGCAATCAATCGATTGCTGCAGTGAGGGATCTATCTACTGCACCAAATGCGCAACTGAACCGAAAAAGCCTGTAGATCACACTATAAGAGATAGAGCGATTAAAACTCGCACAGCGTTTTACAAAGTACATTTCTTACTGTATGTCAAAAATGATACAATTTTGTGATATTATCAGTGATAAATGATAAAATGATGATATCAATGACAACGACAGATAAGAATAGCGCTAAATTCATGCGGTCGATTCCCACGTTCATCTTTCATGTAGGTGCAGAATCTCAGCCCAGGCTCGGCGTGAAGCGAGTTGAAACAAAAATGCCATTCTAAATAAGAATTGGCAGCAATGGCATGTGCCGATGAGAAATCGATCAATTGCTGCAGCGAGGGATCTACCAATTGCACCGAGCAATAGAAGCAGAAAAGCCTGTAGATCACTTACAATGAGAGAAAGAGCAATAGAAATTCAGTCGTTTCCTACACCACTTTTCTTACCATATGCCAAAATCCAAAAATGTGATATTATCAGTGATGAACGATCAAATGCTTAGATCAGTGATAAGGGTAAATAAAAATTGCCCAATTTTTCGCGATAGTTTTCGATAGTAAGAACTTCGTACCAGAACCTGCTACTCGCGATTTACGCTGTGACAAATGTTCAAAAAAGCTTTACCATAGAAAATAACAAAGTATCACCATATGTCTACCGTGTCACCATGAACTACGGACATACCGTGTACCAAAAGATTCGTCTCATCAAGCTAAAGCCGAGTCTTCTTGCAGATCTCATATAAAGTTGTTCTAAAAAAAGTTACAGTTGAATCCCGCTTATCCAGCAAATCCCGCGAATCCTGCAAATCCCGTGAAGTCGCAAATCCTGCGAATCCCGACAATCCCGCAATTTTGGACAAATTCTACCGCTGCAACTGTAGCTATGGTAAAAATGCTATGTATTAGGTTGGCGGATAATTTCTGTTACACTTTTATTTTTATTTCTTAAAAATCTAAGAAACTTCTGAAAGTTCTTATTAAAGAGTGTTGGCGGGGTGCAAAGGTTTACCCGCCGGTATTGTCAGATCCGCGGTCCGTGCGCAAAACACCCACTTTCGGTGGGAGTACATTTTATGGACATTTTTGCCAGCGGACTGACATTGTTCCATGCGATTGGGAAGAGACCGGGCGATGTGGTATTCGGCAGGGTATGGTCCATAGTTTAGCGAACATAGGGGGATGGCACAATCATGTCCGCATACGATCACATAAGCTACATTTTGCGCGATGTCAGCGCACAATGGTATTTTGAATGAAGAATAAACAAATTTACAAAAATTATTTTCAACCTTTCCGTATCAAATCCTACACGATGTACACGGAAAATTTTTTTGACGAATTTTTGGTTTTTTCGAGTTGTTTTTGACCTGTTTTTGGCTGCTAGCGGCACCAGAGTGTTAGCATACAAGAAACGATGCGAAAATATGTTCTAAAAAATTATGGGGGAGAAGAAACACAATTACACGCTGAGAAAAAATCAAAGAAAGAATGACAATTTTGAATTTGCTTATAAAGTTGTCGTAAACTTGCTGGCTAGTTGTGCATTTGCGGCATCAGTCATACTGTTGTGTACGCCCTGCCGTGGCCTACATATGGAGCAAATTTGAAAGCTCTAGGAAACTTCTGGAGCTTTTCAGAATTTTACGATAAAAGTGTAACAGAAATTATCCACCAACCTAATATTATGTCAAAATGCTTTCTCGAATTACTTTTCAGTGATTTCGGAATGCTTGAAAAACGTTGCAGATAATTTCTGTCACCATGGTTGTTTCCTCTCAAAAATACTTTGATGTAATACACAAGATACTAATGATTCCTCGAGCAAGTAAATTCGCAAAACCAATCTCCGACAATTCCTGTAATAATTACCTTATTCATTCAATACGCAGTGTTGCTGTTTCCAGCTTAATCAATATGCTATTTTCAAGTTTATTGATGTTTATCTGCAGAATTCGTTCAAAGTTCCTCCCGGCAAAGGACAATGCTATGTTCCGAAAGGAGGTAACTGCTACCGATGCGACTGTATGAAACCAGCGAAATGCTACAAAGGAGAGTGCCGCTAAATCACGCTTGACTCCAAATCGTCATCATCACTTTATATCCAACTGTGATCGAACCTCTGTGAATAAAACTTTGTAAGGGGGAAATCTAAAAATTTTGAATCGTTGTCATCTGGCAAACGTAATATAAGGCTTCGTCCAGAGTTGCCCATGTGCCAGCGCAAGCTAACGCGTTGTCAGCTTAACCCTGGCAAAAAATACTTTGGACGTAGCCTCAGATTGGTGCATAAAGGCAGTGTCCGGGCAAAAACTCAATTCCTGGAAAATCCACTTACCGGTGTTATCCGCAACGCTGAATCCGAAAATCCACATTAAAAGGCGCGAAAACGGCGAGAACGTTTCCCAAAGCATTACAATTCAAAATTTGACGGTCCCCGCCAAGGCTGAGACGCAGGGTCGCTGCGGGACTCTACGATTTACTATTGCGGCATGCGTACTCTGCCGTATAGTAGGAATAACAGATCGGAGGACCCCCGATCGGAGGTGTAAGTTTCCCCACACCATTTTTCTCTTGCTTTAGGTCGAATTTAATAACCTCGTACTTGCGCTACACTGTGTCTGAGGGGCCACTTTCGCATGGCACTGAAGTCCCGAAACCCCCACCTTGTCCGGACACTGCCTATAGCATCCGATTTTGTCTTTTTATACAATTGACGGCTGCTCTTCTCCTCGGTCTTCTCGTGAAAGCCATCTTAAGCATCGCTTTCTCCGGTGTATTTGCGTGCACCATAGCTCACTAGACTCTTAAGGCCTTACCCTTTTTTGTGTACCTATTTCTGCAACTCTATCGTTTTAAATACGTCTTCTCGTATGAGTTCTTTAGGGAAATATTTGATTCATTTTATCGGTATGCTTCAATGCGATGTATATATATATGGGGACTTTTGTGATTGCTTCAGTACTTCAGTAAATCTTATTCAAATGTTCTTTGATTACTTCATTCTTGATAGGAAGACAGGTTCATTACCACGAGCTTCTGTTGTGCGTTGCAAGACTATGGTACTCTGAATTCTGCGGGACCTTTCATGGAATCGCGAAGTAAATGAGGACGCGAAAGGTAGAAGAATCGCTGTATGTATTGGGCTTTGAAAAAGTTTACCACAGAGGGTACATTGTGATAGTATTAACAAAACAGATTTTCGGAAAATTTCAGTGTAAATGCACCGTTGTAGATTTAGTTGCGGAGTTAGTTGTAATTTAGTCCAATAGCACTGATTTACTGCTGTGAACTTTGTCATAAAAATACATACAGGTAGCGATAGGACGCTGCGGGTGCGGCATAGGTGCGATAGTCTGAGACGAATCTCAACCCTCCTTCACTTTGGAGACTAGGCTCCTTCCCCCCTTCACTTTGGGCAAAGAAAAAAAATTTTTGGAGGTGAAATGATAGTGTGCTTGAAGTGGAGTTGTGGCGGAATAGCGCCTTGGAGTAAGTAGCTCCGCTGTATTATTAGACGTAGCTTCGAGCTTTATTGAGTCAGGCGACCTGCACTGATGCAGTGGCAGAATGCTCCATATAATGGGCGTGACAAGGCGCGACACTTACATAAGTACCGTACAGGTCATGCCATAAGCATAACCGGCTGTGATTGAGTATCTCCATAGCTCAGATGCATGTATACTACCTTGTCACGCCCATTATACGGAGCATTCTGCCACTGCATCAATGCAGGTCGTCTGACTCAATAAAGCTCTTAGCCTAGGTCTAATAACACAGCGGAGCTACTTACTCCAAAGGCGCTATTCCGCCACAACTCCACTCCAAGCACACTATCATTTCACCTCAAAAAATTTTTTTTTGCCCAAAGTGAAGGGGGGGGGGGGTAGCCCAGTCTCCAAAGTGAAGGGAGGTTGAGATTCATCTCAGACTATCGCAAATATGCCGCACCCACATCGTCCTATCGCTACCTGTATGAAATTTCCAAATGTTCAGAGGAGTTATTTTTATGACAAAGTTCACAGCAGTAAATCAGTGCTATTGGACTAAATTACAACTAACTCCCCAACTAAATCTACAACGGTGCATTTACACTGAAATTTTCCGAAAATCTGTTTTGTTAATACTATCACAGTGTACCCTCTGTGATACATTTTCTCAAAGCCCAATACATACAGCGATTCTTCTACCTTTCGCGTCCTCATTTACTTCGCGATTCCATGAAAGGTCCCGCAGAATTTACCATAGTCTTGCAACGTACAACAGAAGCTCGTGGTAATAAACCTGTCTTCCTATTAAGAATGAGGTAATCAAAGAACATTTAAATAAAATTTACTGAAGTACTGTAGCAATCACAAAAGTCCCCATATATATATACATCGCATTGAAGCATACCGATAAAATGAATCAAATATTTCCCTAAAGAACTCATACGAGAAGACGTATTTAAAACGATAGAGTTGCAGAAATAGGTACACAAAAAAGGGTAAGGCCTTAAGAGTCTAGTGAGCTATGGTGCACGCAAATACACCGGAGAAAGCGATGCTTAAGATGGCTTTCACGAGAAGACCGAGGAGAAGAGCAGCCGTCAATTGTATAAAAAGACAAAATCGGATGCTATAGGCAGTGTCCGGACAAGGTGGGGATTTTGGGATTTCAGTGCCATGCGATAGTGGCCCCCTCAAACACAGTATCGCGCAAGTACGATGTTATAACGTTCGACTTAAAGCAAGAGAAAAATGGAGTGGGGAAACTTACATCTCGGGGCGGAGTCGTCCGACCTGTTTAAATTGCGGCAGAGTACAGTCGGCTCCGTCCGGATTAGGCGAAACATTCTGCGTGAAGCAACGCGTGAGCATCGCTGGAGGCTTTGCGAGCGCATAGCGCTGGCACTTTGCCAAGCAAGGGCTAAGTAGAATGAGGAGACACAGGCTTGGGTTTCAGCGCGATATGATACACTGTAGCTGCGAAACGGCGCGAACCGTTGCAAGGCGGACGCCCATCAATCCAATTTCCGCCTAAAGCGGGTAGAAACTTACTGTACGCATACCGCAATAGTCAAAATCGCAGGGTCCCGCAGCCACTCTGCGTCTCAGCCTTGGCGGGGACCGTCAAATTTCAAATTGTAAGGCTTCAAAAAGCATGTTCTCGCCGTTTTCGCGCCTTCCAATGTGGATTTCGGATTCAGCGTTGCGGATAACCTCCGGTAAGTAGATTTTCCAAAAGTTAAGTTTTCGCCCGGACACTGCCTTTATGCACCAACCTGAGGCTACGTCCAAAGTATTCTTTGCCAGGGTTAAGCTAACAACGCGTTAGCTTACGCTGGCACACGGGCAACTCTGGACGAAGCCTTACATTACGATTGTCAGATGACAACGATTCAAAATTCCAGCATTTTCCGACCCTTACAAAGTTTTATTCACAGAGGTTCGATCACAGTTGGATACAAAGTGATGATGACGATTTGTAGTCAAGCGTGATTTAGCGGCACTCTCCTTTGTAGCATTTCGCTGGTTTTATACAGTCGCACCTCATACAGTTCTCTCCTTTTGCAACAAAGCATTGTCCTTTGCCGGGAGGAACTTTGAACGAATCCTGCAGATAAACATCAATAAACTTGAAAATAGCATATTGATTAAGTTGGAAACAGCAGCACTGCATATTGAGTGAGTAAGGTAATTATTATGGGAATTGTCGGGGATTGATTCTGCGAATTTATTTGCTCAAGAAATCATTCGTATCTTGTGTATTACATCGATGTATTTTTGAGAGCAAACAACCGTTGTGACAAAAATTTCCTGCCACGTTTTTCAAGCATTCCGAAATCACTAAAAAGTAATTCGAAAAATCATTTTGACATAATACATAGCATTTTTGCCAAACTATATTACTTACCACGACAACGGCAAGGAATATGACAATGAAGTAGAGGAATATTGTAGTTGAAAGTATTCTCATTTCGAGCCGCTGTTTCTTCTGAAAAAAAAGCAATTCGTTATAAGATTGTGAAGCCACAAAGAGGATTTAGGAGGTGGTCTGAGTAGGCAACCTATGCAAAACATTCTAAGTTAATCCTTGCAATAAATTAGTCAGCTTAGGAAGGATGAGGGAAAGGAATCCGATTTCACTGGCAAGTGCAGATGAGCAACATTCAGTCACAGGTTATTGCATATCCTTAGAAAAGAAACTGGGTCACCCTCTAAGGACCAAAAAACTTTTTCAAAATTGTGAATGTTTTAGTGCTCTCCTTCATTCAAACTCAATTTTGTGGGTAATTCATCAAATTCCCCACATAAGATGGAATAATGCTACTTCTAAACTTACAGCGGCGGTGTTTGCATGATCACATAAATTATTATAACAAGTGACTTATTTCATTACGTTGTCCCATAAGTCTTTTCATTTTCGAGTTTTCGTTATGATAAGACACACACTTCTGATTCTAAATAGACATCAGGACATCATTCGATAGAGCAAAGCAAGCTCCATAAGATGGTGTTTATGCTTTTGCACAAGCTTTGGTCCATCTCGAAGTTTGAAACCAAATCTAAAAATTTTCGGATGGCCAGAAACCGAAAAATTTTTATATCTTCGTTCAAAAAATTCTACAAATCTCTAACTCGCTCACGCATATACATTCACATCAGACGTTCATATGTGCTGTTGCTGTATTTTTATCAGCTAGAAATCAAGAAATCGGAAACTTCATGTTTTTACCAAAGTGACGCTGTGCTGTTCTTGACACTACAGTTGTATACTATGAAGCCCTTAGAAGTACAGCCGCACATTTTTTGCTTCTATAAGCTCTGGTTCACGAGAAAATATCAGATTTAGGGTTACT